CCTAAAAACACTGCAGGATTTCTCAAACATGCATGAATGAGTCAAAGCAAGGCTTTGGGCATGTTTTTTATAACATGATGTAAAACTCAAAAAAGTTGATTTTAAATTATATTGCCCCTTTAAAAATCTTGGACAATATTTCAAAGCATCTTCATTAGATCTTTTTTTTTAAATGTGATCTGAACGGGTCAGTAAAGTTACAAACACCTCCTCCTTCACATCCCTTCAGGCTGAAGCTCATCCTCTCTGACTCCTCTCAAACATCACTGACTCGGCGCTTTGACAGCTGGTCAGAAGTTCCTGGTGTTACATAAACCCCGGTCCCCATCAGCAGCTCTGACATTTRCCACCCTGCAAGTGACCCAAGCCTGCTCCTGTAGGCTGGTTTTACCAGGACTGTCCACATCTTTTAGCTTTTAAATCATCACTGGTGCTCTGCAGACAGGAGCAGAAAAAATGTCACACGCAGAATTGATTGTTTTTGTCACTTATAAAGAACACCCTGTGGACTGCTGTTTATTAAAAAAACAGACTTTATTGTGTGGGGTGGGGATCATTTTACAATAAAACTATAGAAACCCCAGTGTTGCTACKTTTTGGTTACACGGCCATAATTGTGGTCAATTGTTTATTAATGTATCAGCAAAAATCTTTGCTCACAGTCCTCAAAGGAGTGCATATAGCCCTCCACCTTTCATGCCAGAGTTGTAAACTAAAATCATCCTATGATGAGAAAGGACAAAGTTGAAGCTGTTGTGGTCAAAGCTTGTAAATCATGTGAGATCTCATGTGATCAGTTTGTACTTGAGTCTGTTTTTAACGATGCCTCTCAGCTGCTGTCACAACAAATTTAGCTCAGAATCTGTAAAACTGAGTTCTAGCCATTTTTTAGTTTGATGCGGTTGATTAACTGTGGTGGCCATCTTGATTGGAGTTTGACTCCAGAAGTTTGTGAGTTGGAGGTTTGCATCTGATTAACAGTTTTTTTGAGAGTTTCACTAGTAACCATCCTCTGGTTCATGAGATATTTTGCGAAAACTCCAAATATTCTTACATGTTATTTCTCTGAGCTGTTTAAAAGATCATAAACTACCTATGACATCACRTTTTATTAATAAATATGTATATTTGGAAAGATAACATTAATAGTGTAGTGCAAAATAAATTTCACTCAGCTGAGATTGTCGCATGTGCAGTAACAGGAAGTGATGTCAAAGGGGAATGTCTGCATGTGAACAACGTGCTACAACAATCAACGCAGACAGAAAAGAAGAATCTGAAGTTTATTTTGATTATTTTGAATCACTATCAGAGAGAGATGACGAGTCGGAGTTCAAATAATAGTATTTCTATAACAAAGACCAGGGAGTACCTTTTCTTAAAGGGAACCCTGATTAGTTGTAACATTAGACTTTATATGATAAACATACTTTAACTGAAAAATAAAGACTGTAAAAATACTGTAGGATGTTCAGTTTTTATCATTTTTAAACTAAAAGTTTAAAAATATATAACAC